GTATTTTTGTTTCTTTGTTTTGGAAGCATATAGTAGTAATTAGAGTACAGCTTTCCTGTATATCCATCCACAAAATTGTGTGAAATTGTGCCACTCATTTTTGTACGATCTAAGCATAACATCCAAGAAAATCCTTTCTTTGTTCGGGAACCAATTTCTCCTTCCCGCTCCTTTCTTTCCAATCCATGACTGTCTAGCTAGAAGAGATGTTTTTGTAAGACAAAAACTTGCTCATATTTGAGTAGAATAGAATAACAGAGTTGGAAGGGACCTTGGAGGTCTTCTAGTCCAACCCCTGCTTAGGCAGGAAACCTTACACCACTTCAGACAAATAGTGCTAATTGCTTTAATTTTAAATTGTTCCCAAATTAAATTTATGCACTTCCCAGGTTAAATTTACTATGGGCATTGACCATCAAAACTAATAATCTGAAAGAAAAAGTATGTATATTTAACAAATGCATATATTGAAAAACAAAGTTAGAAACACATTTGTTATGACATTTGTAGATGGCAATAATTTTTTTATAACAGATGTTGAGCAATTTTTCCTAATCCTTGTGCTTCTAAACATTATATTTAGGAATTAGGATTGTTAGCTTTTTTCCACATCTTGCATTCTTTTCCACATTCAGTTTTTACAACTTGGGCAGAATTAAGCCAAAATGAGTTTTCCTGAGCAGACAGATAAAATAGATTTTTAAAAAGTCAAACACCACCACAACAACACCCCTCCCCCCCAATTTCTATACAGCAGCTGCTATAGCCCCCCCCCCCCCCCCCCCAATTTCTATACAGCAGCTGCTATAGAACACAACTGGAAAATAATATAAATTCTGACATTATTCATCACAATGCAAGTACATTCCCCCCTTTTCTTTCTCTTTTTCATATTATTGTGGCAAAAGTGTTTCTCCTGCAGCAGCAGTGAGCTCACATCATAGCTGCCAATTTTTGATTCTCTTTTTCCTGTCTTTTTAAAAATAAGTGGAAAAGTGGAAGTGAAAGCATTTGCAGACAATGCTTATCTCCACATTTCACAACCTTTATCGTAAAGCCTACTTTCCTCAGGAAGTAGGGAGAACCAGGTCATGCTGCTTTTCTCCCAAATGGGAAAATGTAAAGCACTTCCTTCACTGAAATTTAGTTTTGTCAACATTTTACTGATGGTTCCCTCTTATCATACAGTTAATGAGTGTCTGTGCTTTAAATGTCAACTTGAGGTGTAAAAGCTTTTTAAACCTTATCTCTAAGTTCAGTGATTTAATCCAAAAATTACTTTCTCTAGTTGGTAATCTTGTATCAACTATAAATGATAGATCTAAACTGAGTTGGGTGAACAGTGGAAGGTTCCCTGGAGTTTTTGCTCTAGGTCAGTGATGACTAACCTTTTTGCCATCGCATGCCAAAAGTGGGGGGAGCGCAGGGGGGGGTCATGCACAGGCATGCCCGCAACCATAATTATATGCGAGCAACCCCCCCCCCCCACATGCATGTGAGAAAGCTTCTGGAGGGCGAAAAACAACCGAAAACTGAAGTCAGCTGGCCAGCGCACG